TATGAGATGGAATGTTTTAGAATTAAACATGAAAATAAAAGCATATTCCTACTTCACCATCGAATATTCTGCTTCTGTCATGTAATCAATATGTGTGATCTTTGCGCTGTTAATAATTTATGATGGTTTATGACTACAAAGGTTGTGTTACGTTTCTGAATGCATACATCAAATGCTTTTCCTATTACATCTGATGTTCAAACAAGGAGTGCATGACTCAAATGATGCTCTTTTCATCAGCAAGAATATAATTTCAGCTCACAAAGGCTACTACACACCGCAGTTCCTTTGAGAGAGGAAGAAAACATTTCCTGCTCCAGAGAGAGATGTTTCTTTCCTTAACTAGATTTTCAATGCAAATGTAGCAAGATTACAATCGCCAAACCACTTAGAGAATACAAAAGACAGCAAAATGTTTAGCAACGGAATTCTGCTTTTGTCACTGAATCACGGATAAACAGCAAGAAAACAGCATTAGTCTCTTCTGAATGTATTGCATTTAATGTAACGATAAAACAGTTTTATTTTGGTGTGGCCAAAAATTAAGTATTCGGCTAGACGAACGCTTCTTTTATGATCATAACGAACGCTTTGATCTCCTCTTAAGGTAAGTACCTGTTCACGTATCCATGTGTGTTTCCATTGTACTCAGGTGATAGGCTCAGAAGACAACAGTCAGTTAAGCTGACAGCTAATTCACAGCAATACATGACAACAAATATTCTATTATGGATATTTATTTGGGGATTATCGAACCCAAATAATCATTTTTAAAATCCCAGAAGTCATGATGACTTATGTATAAGGAATAAACCATCGTAGCATTTATTTTTTTTCTTCTTCTTTCAATTAACTACTCTAGTGCTTTGTCCACAGCAACTACTTACAGCAGAAACATCTTGGTTTTGTTTGCGTGTTCATTCATTGAGTACGACGAGCTTTGTGTCAGCATGTAGTGAGCAACGTGGTGGCATTTCAGGAAGGACATCTTGGAACTAGAGCACTCTGTTTTCAATGTCAAGTTCCAATCCCTCACCTTGAGTGATAGGAACGTAAACAAGGCAATAACAGGTGTTATGTTTAATACAGTTCAAATAAGAAAATGTCATTTTACATAGCCTGCTGTAAATGTATGCTACCTTTTCAAACTTGTGATGGCAGTGGTGGCGTATATTAATACACTAGCAGCAAAGAAACACTTTATATATAAATGAATGTTGATCTTTTTTTTTTAAAATTACAAAATCATATAGATAAAACAATCAATGTTTGTTTAAATACTCTGCTCTCAGTAAAACCAATTTTTGATTTGGAAGTCATTTTTGTTTTGTCTGAAGTAGTCAAACTTCAGATTGACCCACTGGTGTGACTCAAGTCCACACCTTTGGTCTCACTTGGTACAGATTCTACAAGAAGCATCTCCTTTGTCTTGTCGACCTCAGTGGATATCAATGCCACAATAAGTCATCTCTGTCTCTTATTTTGGCGTCCCTCCGCAGCATCTCCAGTGCTCTGCTCGAGGAATCAGGATAACTCTGCCCCCCAGAGAAACAGCTTCAACTTCTAGAGGGCATCCAGAAGTAGGACATCCAGCTTTAGTGTAAAAAGGAGGGTATTTTTTGGTAAATCAACAGCAAATGGAATGAAGTAAAGCCGCAGGCACCTGATTCAGGTGAACAGGATGTGGCAGGTAGTTTTTGGTATGTCACTTATAGCACAGTATCAGTATCAGTCTGGCAGGTCTACTTTCAATCAAACCACCTTCCATTCCCTTTAAATATACTGTAACGTGCTCTAAACCATGTCATTCTGACAGTTCAGTGAGAACAGTCCTGAACACTTTCACCACAGTGACTTCTCCCTGGAGGAGACCGATGCTGGAAAATCATAAACAGCGTTTGTGCACACACCTTAAATATGACACTGAGGGTAAATTATTATAAAGGCTTAAAAAACACATTTGTGAAACATGTCAGTCTTTTATAAGTGCTGCTGCTGTCCTGACCTTCTCTTTAATTATTATAATAAAACAAGTAATGTTGAATCTTTTCTTGTTTTAGGGATTTACATAAAATTCAGTGACAGTCTGAACCCCCAAATCCTTTCAGCAGGTTTAAAAGACATGTTGTCTTTAAAAAAAAATCCCCACAATTACACCAATTATCAGAGCCAGAAACAGTAAACACAGAAAGAATTTTCAACTTTTTCACAGCCTTTAAATGAATTATTTCTAATGTGTTGGTCTATCAGAAAGAAAAAATAAAACAACTCTAAGCTTAAAATCATGGCATTTCAATAAATTGTCTCATTCTACATATACAAATAAAGCATTTCCACTAAACAGATTCCAAACATAAGGAAAACATTCTGCACTTCTTCTTCAACCTTCAGGTGACAAAAATTCAGGACCTCTTGGACTGAACTGCAGGCTGTGTTTACCCAGAGCAGATAGGAGAGATGTATGAAAAATGAGAGAGATTAAGAGGAAAATAGAATAAACTGTATCATCCATCCATTATCTATACACCGCTTAATCCTCACTAGGGTAGCGGGGGGGCTGGAGCCTATCCCAGCTGACTTAAGACGAAGGCAGAGGACACCCTGGACAAGTCAGGAGAACCTGGAGAGAACCCACTCTGCATGGGGAGAACATGCAAACTCCACACAGAAAGATCCTGGTGAACCACGAACCGGCGACCTTCTTGCTGTGAGGCAACAGTGCTACCAACTACGCCTCCTTGCAGCCTAAAAGAGTACCTTTATAATATATTGACATATTTCTCTAACTTCCTACAATTTCAAAATTACAATAGATGGTTAATACGTCTGAGCATTACTGTATGAACTATAATGGTAAAATGAATCAAATATCAAGCATATGATGTAAAAATAATATCAGTTGATCACAATTTTGGAACAGCAGAATCAATGTGTTTTCTTTTGCCTCATAGAAATAACAAAGTGAAGCTGTCAGTCGAGAAGTACGGACTTTATGTTCTCTAAATGTACAAGCACATACCAGCATAGGGTCAACCAGCAAGCTGAACATAAACCTAAAACCAACTGTATAAATCCAATAATTTACATTTTCTTATCCCATAAAATAATGGCAAATTTAAATTATTAATATTAGATCTTTTATATATATATATTTTCTTTAAAATGGCCCATCCCTTATCCTCTTCAGGATTAGGGATAAAGATTGAGCTGTGATTAAAAAAAACCAAAAAAAAAAACATTACCACTGATGGATGAGGTATTTGGATCCTTTATGTAAGTACAAGTAATACCTATTGTATGCAACAAACAAACAAACAAAAAGCATAGAGAGTTATATTCACCACATATAGAACTGTGCAAAAGTTTAAGACACTTTAGATGTTTCGATTCTTATCCATCATACAATACCATGAGGGAGGCGTTTGGTCCTGAAGTCACTCTCCAGCAGGTCAGTGACCCCCAGACATACAGCCAGAGTCATAAAGAAATATCTTCAGTGAATTTTGCAACAGATGGTATAGCTCCCACACAGCCCTGATCTCAGCATCACTGAATCAGCCTGGGTTTACCTGAAGAGACAGAAAGCAAGTGGAGACAGCCTAAGTCCACGTTAGATGTGTGGAAAGTTGCCAAAGATGCTTGGAACAACTTACCTGTCAAGTACTTTGAAAAGCTGTGCACAAGTATACATATGAGAACTGTTGCAGTTTTAAAGGCAAAATGTGGTCACACCAAATAATAATTTGATATAGGTTGTTTTTCTGCCTGCCTCACTTTGCATTAGGCCAGTTCATAAATAATCGCTGCATATGGTATTCTCATTTTGCTTTTAGTGGCTAAAACCTTCGCACAGCATTATATATTACTGGAGTATTATTACCTGCCATCTATAAGTCAGAAATATAGCCAAAGTCAAACCAATGCTCCCCGAAATGTACCTGAACAACTTATCCACACCTTTATTTTCTTCTGCCTGGACTACTGCAACATACTCTTCTCTTGCCATAATGATGAAGCAATTGCCTGTTAACAGCTGATTTAAAACTCAGCAACAAGATTACTCACAAACACTGGACGCAGGGAAAATGTAACTCCAGGCCTGACCGAGTTATGCCGGCTCCTTATTTGATACAGAACTCAATTCAAGATTCTCTTGATTGCTTTTAAATCTCTACTCTCTACATCTCAGATACCTCAGATATAGTCCTTACTAGTGTTTTTACACTTATGAGTATGCATGGAAAGTGTTACATATGCACAAACATCAGTTTTTAAAACTACAGCTGTTAAGTGAATATAGTGGACTATAAATCATAGGTTTCTACAGAAGAGAATGCTTTCTTTTTCTTTCATCACATTTGAGATAGACAAGTCCAGAAGGGGATAAGACAAGAAAGGACAACACTTCATTACATTTTGGATGACATTTTTGTGCCAGATATTGCTCAGAAAACAAAACTGCGTTACATGAGAATAATAGCTGTCGATGTAATGAGCTATACATCGACATATTGTGCATGAAAATAAAATACAGAATGTCATACTGAAATGTATATTGTACAAACTAGTGAGAAAAGCAATATTGTAGATGCCATTGGTAGGATTTGGGCTAGTTTAAAGAAAGAAAGAAAGGAAGGAAGAGAAAGAAAGAAAGAAAGAAAGAAAGAAAGAAAGAAAGAAAGAAAGAAAGAAAGAAAGAAAGAAAGAAAAGGTTTTAAACTCGGGAAAAAATGACAATTCTGAAAACACACAGCGAGACCTCAAATAAAGTTTGGCCCTAATCCTCTTCCGTAGTTTCCCATCTGACATGCATGTTTAAGTACAACACACGTGCAAATATCCGTCAACCGGTGAACAATGTGAACAATACAGTGCAGACAAAGCCAAGTGGGAGACTGACACGGGAGGAAACATCTGCAGCAGCTGCAGCAGCTGCGGTGCTACTGTCTCTTTAAATATCCCTTCCAGTCCGTTGCCCCGGTAACCCGGAAGCCTCACGCGCTCCATGCTGCACCGCTCAGAGTCCTTCCTGTTTTAGAAATTTCAAGGAAGCAGCAGCAACTGGAGTCAGGCGCAAAACACTGATGGTGCGTGAGTCGAACAAACAGTCTGCATGCGTCTCCCGTAGACGGCTGTTCCTCCTCGAACGTCTGCGTAACGTTTGGTCGAAGTTACTGTCTAATAAAAACTCGAGTGTCCCGCTGTAAACCTGCTCGCAGTAGCTCCATGTCGGGCACATTTTCCCGGAGTTTGTTTTTCTTAAGAGTGCGAAACATTAAACAGATGTTGGCTGTTGAGCAAGAAAATGACGGAGCAGTTTGAGGTGGCTGTGAAAATTAAAGAGTGTTTTTTTAACTGCCTGCAGCGTGGCTTTTTAGAGCAAGAGTAATTTCGATATCTGTAAATATTTAACTCAGTTGTGGCACGTGTACAACTGAGGGACACACGGCTGCTGCCAAACTAATAGTTACAAGCTGCGTAGCTCCATTGTTGACAAATAGTTGAGTTAGCTGTGAGTGTCGTGTGTTGTTGCAGCGTAAATGCTCACGACTGTGTTGTGTTTACTATGCTAGAAGCTCGTGCATGAAAGCAGGTTTCAGCAGGGAAGTGTTGGCCTTCTGGCACTTTACAGGTGCAGCAAGCTTGTAGACTGTTGCCAATATGATCATAAGAAAGGATTCAGGTTAAAAGACATGTTATAATATGATATGACAGTACATGAGTTCCTAGAATGGAATGTAGTTTATTGTTTTCTCATTGCAGATTTCCCTCAGTGCATTGTATGATGTGTAGTTTTTCATTCCTTGATCTCATGTGACAGGATTCGTCTCTGTGATCTTTGGGAGGGGAAGACCCATGCTCTCTCACCTTTGTGCTGCCACACCAGCCGTGTACATACTGTGGATCGCCATGGCCCAGGTTGCTGGCCAGGAAGACAGAGAGAAAACTACCGCGCTCAAAGGTGAATTAAAAGATCATACTGTGAAAGCGAAACAAACAAACAGAAATCCCGTACGACAACAGGTAGCATTGTTCGTGAAAGAGTTGTGCTAAGTTAAGTCAGAGCAAGCACGTCAACATTTCCGGCTTGTCTGGCACACACAGCTGAATAACACTGCAGACTGTAATTTTATATCACTTATGACGTCCAGGCTAGTTATTTATAGAGGAGCGATAGAGTCTCGATCTACAGAAAGGAATGTAATCAAGGAGTGTGCAATCCTACGGAACTGCTTAGTGGCCATAGAGGAAAAAAACAACAATGCATGGCCACGAGATAGTAACTCATGGTCACGAGTTATTATCTCGTATTATGCATTGTATTTTTTTCTCCAATGTCACTTCCAGAGTTCAGTAAAGTTGGAAATATATTCAAAGATTCGAACGTCCGGCTTCAATAACTCCAAAGCGAATCAACAATCTACAATCAGCCAAAATCGTTTTTTCCCCAAAATGAGACGTCCTCAGTTCTTTATGAATTACATTGATCTTTACGTGCAGCCGGCTGCCAGACCGGAGCTCAGGAACCGTTAACAAACTACCACGGCAAAAGGAAATGCTTCGAAAAGAAACTCAACAACATTACATTTATTGTTTGTAGTGTCACATTACACATCAGTGACCTTCCTCTGGTTGTACTACAGCTTTTAATATAAATGTATATAAAATGTATATGTGTAAAAAATAGAATGTGTGGGAACAAGATAATAAGTCATTACTTCAAGTTAATAACACATGGGAGCGAGATAATTTAACTCACGGCCATACATATATTTTTTTCCCCCCTCTATGGCCTCTCAGGGGTTCCAAACAATCCAGAGTGTATTAAAATATATGTCGGATTCTAAATAAGACACGTTTTAAACTTTTGTACCTTGAATTGAATCCCCCATCAATTTTAGATGTTTACTGTAGCTATACATCAAGAATAAGTGGCAAAGGCAATTCCTTTCTGCTTCAGTGGCAGAATTTGCAGAAAAATGTAAAGAGACATTTAGTTTTGTTGTTATTTGATGTGAATACTCTCTTTTCCATCTATTGTTACACTTGGAGGTGATGAAGAGATTTTAGTATAAGCGACCAGGGGGGACTTCGGCTTAGCATTTGTTGTTGCTGCTTGACGACCTGGGGATTATCAAAGCAAAATTTAGTTAATCCTGCTAAACATTCTGAAGTTATCATACACTCTTAAGAAAATCGGCTATGGCTTATATTTCTTTATCCCTTAATTTTCTCTTTCTCCACAGATTTGCTGTCAAGAATAGACTTAGATGAACTTATGAAGAAAGATGAACCTCCTTTCACTTTCCCCAAAACACTGGAGGAGTTTGAATACACCTTCAATGAATGTAAGTCTATACATCTTGTCTTTAAAACACAAACCACAATGATTTTCATGGGTTGCTCAGTTGCACATAAATCCTGCTGCTTTAAAATAAAAAAGAGAGCCAAATGCCATGAAACATAAAGCCCCTTTCAGACATGCATTTGCACTTTCCATCAACCTGAACATCTAAACGTGTTAGCTTCATGTCTAAACGAGCGCTTAGGTCATTTCTCTGTAAAGTTCCAATGTAATCTCATTTAAACTGTCTTGTCTGTACTGCCTGCAGTCACATTACCGTGGATTCCACGGGAGACGTACTTGTGGTAGTTACTTCAACGATTGGCGAGGCCACATTCTATATATAGTGATGGTAGTTATGGGCTATTTCTGCAAACAATCTGTTGGAGGAATGGAAACATGGAAAATCACCTTAATTAAAAAATAATAATTAAATGTAACAGATAAATATGTTGACTTTAACCCTCTGAACCTCAGAACCTGCTGGTGTATTTGATAAGCATGTTGTTCTTACAAAATAGCCAAAATGACACCATTTGTCAGAGCAAGAAACTTTATAAACGTTGGAGTTTGAACTCTCTGATGAACAACTAATCAATGATGCGCCATTTAGTCAGGAAACATAGCCAAATCTTAGATTAAAATCTAAATATTTCATGAAAATACTTTTATTCTGCACGTCTCGTTTAAAAATTCACCCACCAAGAAGTTTCAACTAACCAGATAAAATCTGTTAAAAAAAAAAGAGAGAAAAAAATCTGTGCTCCTGGTTGCAACCAAGAAACCATTAGTTGCTCAGCTGCGCCGAACAGTCATGTGACAAACATTTAAATACTTTTTGGCTGGATTGGTATGAACGGCAGGCTGTGTTTACACAGAGCAGATAAAAGAAAAAATTGGAAGAAAAGAAGAAAAAACTTTAAGTCATAAAATATCTATCATATCTATCCTAGTTTTTTCCCAAGTACTGATAATACCTGTGGACACTTGGAAAAATGTTGTGCATGCTGATTTCACTTTTTTTTTCAACAAAAACAAATAATAATAACAATTAAAGCATTTAATTTAGTAATTTCCTTATGATTTACTGGATTATAACTGTATCATGCTGCACAGAAGACATTTTTAGCTCTCTCTACTTCTGGTCATGGTTGTGCTGTTTCCATAGAAGTGCAGGACTTTCTATTGCAGTGAACAATGAGCCCACAGTGAGGTGAGATGTGTCAAGAGCAGATAATAAAAAAAAACGGATCCAACTTTTACGGTAAAATAATATCCCAATGGCAGTGATGGTGCTCATGACTCAATATGAGGACTTCTGCTATCAAACCAATATGTATGACTATGTGTTACAGCTCACCTGTCTGAAGTGAAGGAAAGTACACAGAGTGACTTGTTGCTAGATCTTGACTGATCCTGTCCTCCATGTTGACCAACTTGCTATTAGTTTAGATTTATGCTTTTGTTTATTAGTAGCTCCTTGAACTTTGATGCTTTGTCCAATATCATGGGTGTGGCAAATATTGCACTTGTACTGTGACTCTCTCTGTCACTGTCGTGGTTATATTTTACTGAAGCCGTGAGGAACATTAACGTAAAGATGACCTTCATCTGAATGACAGGATGCCGTCACTTTAACAGATTGATGAAGCCAGTAATGTTACATATTTTGACAGACTGTGGCTCGCTTGTGTATTGGTTTCCTATCTTTTTTGGCTTGTGACACCTTAAATCGAGGCAGTGTCTTCATGCAACCCATTGATATAACCTGATAGTGTCCACCAAAAAGTATAATTTCCACTTGAAACTTATAAAGATTGTTTCATTTGAATAGCTGTTAGTGACCTGATGAGGTGAAACTATCCAATATTTTAACTTTGCAACAATTTGAAAAGTCAAATTTGTGCAGTGGTGTGCCGGCAGGGCCAGCGAGGCCTTCTCTGCTGGTCTAAACTCTTATCAGAATCACTGACTTACGTTGTAAAATTTTCCAATTAATCTTTTAGCTTTCTTCATTTAATAGCGTGTCTCTGGACTGTGGTGCTTCCAGCAGTGAATGTTTAGATTAGAGGTTTTTTTGTTTTTGTTTTTTTTTAATCCAATCATGTTTCAGCCATCATGTGTTGCCAGGGTCACAGAAATCTGCCCTGAGGCCTTCAGAATCAAAAGTGCAGGCCCATGTAGCTTAAAATGTATTGTAATGAAACTGTTGCTTTAACCAATCAGATTTAGAGTTGTGGTCCCAGGGCCAGCTAGCTGACCTGCGATGATGTCAGCACTTTCATGTCCTCTGATTGGATGGTCACAGAGCTTAGCCAAAGCTATCGATTGCTATCTGTAGCGACCTGCACAAGCTAAAACTTTATTGTATAAGTATGACATTTTTAAAAAAAAAAAAGTTAAGCAAGCCGACATTCTCAGCCCTACAGTAAATTAAAACTTATGACAGAAACATGACTGGACGGACTCAACTTTCAGCATTAGCCTCCATGACAATAGAACAGGACGTGTTGGAAGTAAACGCACGGATTGAACTGTTTGATGAAAGAAAGGGGGATGGATTTTGTGTTCAAATAATCACAGGTTTTGATGAGTAAAATATATATTTTTGTCATTTTATTGGGCTGATATTGATGCTCCTGTTAGATGTGCAGGTTCTCACCAGAAACGTTTGACAGCGACACTCCCCCTGTTAGCTAAGACGTTCGCTGCTAATGAATAGCAGCCTTAGCAGCGAAGACAACGGTAGAGAAACGAGTTTCTTAGGAAAATTTGCACATTTTACTGTAAAATATTCCAAACACGCAGCTTGAAAGACAGCGTAGCGGATCAAGACACAGCGTGGTTTTTCAGGGAAATGGCTTAGTGAGAACCCTGATGTGGTGTATGTGGTGCAGCTGTGACTACAGTTAAAGGAGACTTATTGAACTGTTTTAACTGGGTTTCTTGCTTTCGTAATGACATTCATTCTCACTACATGAGATACCTGTCTGCAATGCAACATCCTGTTGTACTGCCTTTCTGCATAATACTGATGGTTTCTATAGCCTTGGCGTCATAATGACAGTATTAAGAGGTGGTCTGATTCAGGTAGGACGCTACTGAAGGGCTAGGAGTAAAATACACGACCCGCCACTGGATTTGTGTACCGTAATTTTCGAACTTTTGAGCGTACCTGAATATAAGCCGCACCCACTAACTTTAAAAAGAAAAAAAAAATACATATATAGGGTGCACTGGTCTATAAGCCACAGGTGTCCACATTGTATCAGGAGATATTTATTCAGGAAGATGTTACACAGAAAGATTTTTTTAACTTTTAATTAAGTACGTACCGGTAGCATACACGAATATGTACCGTAAATGCTTTTTTCCTACACGGCTGGTTAAAAAATAAATTTAAAAAAACAGTAGCCTACCAGGAAATATCATTGATCGCTATCTTCATCTTCCTCCTGCGCACTTAAGTTGTCTTCTTCAGTGTTGGAATTGAACAGCCCCAGAATTACTTCATCACACACTTCCTCAGTCTGTCTTTCGTTGTCGCTCTCAATGTCACTTTCATCTCGAGGCAAAGTTGTAAAAATCGTAAAAATCCATAAATTAGCTGCATCATTGTTTAAGCCACAGTGTTCAAAGCGTGTGAAAAAAGTAACGGCTTATAGTCCGGAAATGACAGTAATCCAACAATATTTTTCCAGCATTTATTCCCCTTCCTCTTGTCATCCCGAGAGTATTCTTGCGACCACTGGATGGATCCAGGGCCTCGGTTTGGGAACTACTAGTAATTATAGTTCTGTTATAGTGTCGTGTCAGCATTTTTAAATTAATAACCTAAAACTGTCTCTGATGTTACTTGGGACACTTTGGGAGTACAAGTATTGACGTGTGTCAGTCAACAGTGACAGCAAGGAGCAGAGCTGAACCCAGAGTGGTGTGGATCCAGATGATATAAAAGTCTCTTTAGGTTTCTCTTGGCCAGCTTTAATCAAGCCAGGTGGAGGGAAGGAGGAAGAGTTGGAAAGGTAGCGGCGCTGGTGATTTTGGCTCTTATTATTCCCCCAGTAGTCTCTTCCCCTCTCTCTCTCTTTCTCTCTCTCTCTCACCCCCTCTCTGTTCTCTGTCAGTGTCTCTACTGGCTGTCTGGCTGGCTGAGTGGGGGACATGTTGTGTACTCTACGGCCCGTCAGTAACCTACTCAGCCTTGCCCTCTGCCTGACGGAGCATTTGCATAACCTCGCTGTGCCTAAGAACACAGACACAGAGACTTAGCCCCCACCCGCCATTATGCCAACACCCGCCAACCACTCTACCGCTCCCTCAAGTCCCAGCTCAGTCTAGCATGGAGGCAGGAACACATTCAAAGGCTCTCCATCTCCCCTTCCTCATGCTCCTGTCTTCCCTCATTCACTTTCTCTCCCTTTCACTGTATTTCTTTATTTCTGCCCCTGTCCCGCTCAAAAACCGAAACACAGCTTACCCACCAACACACACACTCACACATGCACATATACACACACACCCCTACCAATCTGTATTTCTTGTCAATTTCTTCTCAGGCCTGTTTTTGAAGGATAGCATTTCTATTAAAGCCATGGTGGCCCTCAGGCAATGTCTCTAGTATGTCGACTCACCGTCGCTCTGGCTCGCAGGCATTTCTATAGCTACACCCAGGCTACCTTAGCCTGAGACAGGTGGAACAAAAATGTTAATTTGACCATGTAATGATGTGAATACAGAAGAGGCTGTGTACAATAGTTTGCAGGTATCTTAATCACTGAAGATGATGGCTTCATCTCGCTAGCCCTCCGGTTTTCCATTACTGGAAATCCAAGGTTATGTACACCTAATTAAGCGGCCAAATTGAGAACAGAATGCTAATTATGACAGAAAAAGAGGAGAAAAGTTGAGAAAATGTTATTCCTTTGAGAGGATGAGTTGGGGGAGACAGTGGAGCTGATCACCCCCCAGCCCACACACACACACACACACACACACACACAC